GACTAGATTGTGCAAAAAGAATGTTCAATTCGAATGGACAAAAGAATGCGATGGCGCATTTAATTATTTAAAAAAGGCACTAATGAAGCCAACATTGCTGCAGTACCCTGATTTCAGCAAAGAATTTTGCATAACCACAGATGCAAGTAAACATGCATGTGGTACAGTACTATCCCAAGAGTACAACGGTATGCAACTACCAAGATCTTTCAAACAGGGAGAAAGCAATAAATCAACTACAGAGTAGGAATTAGCTGCAATTCACTGGGCAATAAAACACTTCAGACCATATGTTTACGGCAGGCATTTTTTGCTTAAAACAGATCATAGACCACTAACATATCTGTTTTCAATGAAAAACCCAACTTCCAAACTAACGAGAATGAGACTAGATTTAGAAGAATACCAATTTACGGTTGAATATCTCAAGGGGAAAGATAATCACGTAGCAGATGCGTTGTCTAGAATTAACATAGACTCGCTAATAGAAATGAATAGGAACATAATGATGGTCCAAACTAGATCATCAACACGACAGGAAAACATCTGCGCAGATGATAAAATAAAATTGCAGAAAAAACAAAAAAAGCCCAATGTCTATGAAGTCATTAGCAATAATGACGTAAGAAAATTTGTGAAACTAAAAATCGGTAAATCGAATTGTTTGTTTAAGCAAGGAAAACGAATTATTTCACAATTTTCAATTAATAATTTGTACTCCAATGAAAAGTTCGACTTAGGTCAATTTTTTCAAAGGCTTAATTGAGAAGCCGGATTACATAAAATTGTTAATTTACAGTTGTCACAAAGTGAACAAATTTTCGAATTTCGAATTCGAATGAATTTAAAAATATGGGCAATAATTACTTGAAAACATTAAAAGTAGCGCTAATAACAAAAGTGACACACATAGACAAAAATGACGAAAGTCAAATTAATGCAATACTGTCGAAATACCATGATGATCCTATAGAAGGAGGCCATACAGAGATTACGCGTACCCTATTAAAAATTAGGAAATACTACTATTGGCCCCAAATGACTAAGACAATTAAAAAGTATGTCAAAACTTGAATGAAATGCCAACAGGCAAAAACTACTAGACATACTAAAGCTCCCATGATATTAACAAATAGCCCAAACACAGCATTTGACACTGTTATAATAGATACAATAGGACCATTACCTCGTACAGAGAATGGCCATGAGTACGCAATAACCATAATATGCGATCTCACTAAATATCTAGTTACAATACCAGTAGCAGATAAAAGTGCGAAAACAGTTGCTAAGGGTATATTTGAATCCTTTGTATTAAAGTACGGTCCTATGAAGACGTTCATAACGGACATGGGTACTGAATACAAGAATTCACTCATAAATGACTTGTGCAAGTATATGAAGATAAATAATATACACTCAACAGCACATCATCACCAGACACTTGGAACAATTGAAAGAAGCCATCGAACATTTAACGAATTTATTCGTTCATATATTTCAATTGACAAAGACGATTGAGACATATGGTTGAATTATTTCACCTATTGTTTCAATACTACTCCATCGACAGTACACGAATACTGTCCATACGAACTCGTCTATGGTAGATTACCAAGACAGTTCATAGAATTTAATAATAAAACAAAAATTGACCCCATATATAACATAGATGATTATGCTAAAGAGTTTAAGTTTAGATTGGAAACAGCTTATAAAAGAGCGAAAACTTTAATAGAGTTAGAAAAACAAAAACGAAAGATAGAATATGATAAAAAATTAAATGACATAGAACTAGAGATAGGAACTTTAGTACTATTAAAGAACGATACAGCCCATAAGCTAGAAAGAAAATATTTAGGTCCCTATAAAGTTATAAGTATAAAAGGTAGGAACAACATAAAAATAGATGGGGGAAAAAGGAAACCACAGATAGTAAATAAAAACCGATTAAAATTATTCAAAAGTTAGATTAACCTGAACTAGAATACACTCAAATTTTATGCATGATCGATCAGCCATAAAATAAACAACAAATAAATACATAAAAATATATAAAAAAAAAAAAAATAATAATAATTATAATAAATATATATATATTTACAAAATAAAAAAAAAAACTTTATTTTCCAAACTATACTTATTAGTACGTAATGTATAATTTTAAGTAAAAATAACTACACTATGTTACGTCATTTTTCAAAAGGAGGGAGATGTAGTATGCGCATATGTCGAGAGTGCACTGTATCCAGTGCCCGTCAAATATATACAACAGCAACACTTTGTTGCTGCATAAACATAATTTAAACAGCGACACTTTTAAGTGCAATGACTTGAAAGTAGCTGGTGCAATTAGCCGCGTCAGCATTCTCATGCCTTGACCGCTCATGAGACATATATGCATACCACTCTCTTAGGTTATATATAAACATATATACATAAGGCTGCTCTGCCGCTGCCTTCTGCTGAAGCAGCAATGCAGCTTTAGGCTAAGAACATTTTATATATGCAATTAAATTGAATAAAAGTAACCAAACAAAGCAGAAGTGTGTTTTTAATACAAATCGAATACTGGATGTATTTCAGTAGAGAAATAGCATATCTCTATATATATAAAACAGTTTGTCCTGACTAACTGACTGAGTGACTGACTGATTGGCAATCAACGCACAGCAAACGGTACGAGCTAGGAAGCTGAAATTTGGACACAAGATCCCTCTTATAGTGAAAGTGAGCACTAAGAAGTTTCGGAAAATTCGAGCTCCAAAGGGGGGAAAACGAGCTCCAACGTTTGTATGAAAAATTTCTATCCGATTAACAAAGAATACAAGAAAACTGTATACTTGGTTTTTCACCATTTTTCCTGGGGCATGAAACAGGGGGGTTTTCCGTGGAAAAATTGAAACACAATCAACACCCCACAGCCCAAACGGTAAAAGGAAACTGAAATTTAGGCTCAAGTATCCTGCCATAATGTAGGTGCTCACTAAGAAGGGTTTTTGGAAAATTCGAGCTCCAAAGGAGGGAAGTCGAAGTCCAAAGTTGGTTTGAAAATTCTGCATTTCTGAATCGATCAACTTTAAATTTTACTTTATAATCTATAAAAGAAAACAAACAAAACTGCATACTCGTTTTTCGAAATTTGTGTTGGAACTTGAATTATTGGGGTTTTAATATTTATTCATTTTTTCAAATGAAAAATTTGTGTTATAAATTTTGTCCGATCGATTTCAAATTTGGGTAATATAATCTACGTAACTAAAATTACAACTTTGCATTTAACGATTTTTAAAAAATGCATTTTACAAATGCAGGCATAACAAACAATACAAAATATCAAACAGTTGGGGACAACTAAGTATACATACACACACACACACACACACACACACATACATACATACATACATGCAGCTGTTCGTGTAGTTGCGTGCAAACGGTTGAAGCACCCAAAGAAAAATGTGAGACACTAATGTGTGAATGTTCATTTGTACACATGTTTGTACATACATACATACAGGTTGGGCAGGGGGGACATTGCTCCCCCTAGAAAGAATTTCGCATTATGAATTACACCAGGACCATATGTATTATATACGTACATATGTACGTACGTCTGTATGTATAGTATGTACATCAATAAGTATGTATGTACGTACATACATTCTTATATACATATGTACATACAACAAGCAACAGTTCGTGTCTATGTGTGCCCATGCATACATACATATGTACATGCATATGTACGTATGCCTGTATATGTATGTAGCATGTACATACAAAACAACAACAACAACAACTTCAAGTTGTTGGCTCGCACATCTTCTTTCGTTTTGATCATTTACGCCTGTTAGTTGCAAAGGCAAAATGCCGTCGCGAGACAACGACTGCGTAACCGATAGTAAAGCAGAATCCGAAAACGGACCTACGCATATTCTGCTTCGCATTGCGGGCAGATGTATGTATGTATGTATATGATTTGTTCTTATTGATCTCAATAAATAATTAGATTTTATTATTTAAATATTCTGCTTATTGCATTCAAACTTCGATATTTTGATGGTATCGGTGGCTTCAACATCGAAAGTTTTACTCTAGCAAATTGAGATGAGAATTGTCAGTGCTTTTTGATCGTGGCTCATCGATGCACGGCATTGACACGAGTGCCGTGTTTCATATTTCGAGTTTGTGCGTGACCGTATTGACTCAATATGGCACGAAAAGACTCAAATGTGAATTTAAAATTAGGATATACCCTTATAATTATTCCCCTTTTTTGCACATAGTCTATCTTAAAACGTTGCGTTATCTCTATATATAAAACAGTTTGTCCTGACTAATTGGTGATCAACGCACAGCCCAAACGGTAAAAGATGAAATTTGGACTCAAGTATCCTTTCATAGTATCCATCATAGTGTAGGAGCACACTAAGAAAGGCTTTTGGAAAATTCTAGCTCCAAAGGGGGAAAAACGAGCTTTAAAAAATATTAGTTATAGTGGTCATGTTCGTTTAACGAAATAGTTTGGCAAGAACAAAAATGTAACGGACTACTGAACAATTTTTTGTCAAGAACAGAAAATGGTAACTTATAAGGTGAAAACATATGGGTAGGTTATGCACACACAAAATAAATACAATTGGAAACATTATATTGAGCCGGGTTAAGACGGGAAATACCTGCTAGTTGTAAATAAACTCATAATTGTGAGCAAAAATGCTGAGACCGTCAAAGATGGGCAAGACCTGCTAGTATTAGAATACATGTATAAATCACAATCTGGATACTTTCAGTATCAAACAGTATCAAACATACATACATATATATCTGCAATTCTGAATGCCTTTTTCGTAGTGCCAAATTTACATGATGGCTAGAAGTAGCTCATAAGTAGGATAAGTAGATGCTAGGTACAAAATGGAATTTCAGTCTTAGTTTAGCCACGAAGGCTTACAGTTCTTAGTTTTCCCCTGCCCCTTAAAGAATCTAACAAAAACCACCGGCTTCATTTCTTTATTTTTTCCATTGACAACAAATTATATATTTTTATAGTTACTAAAAATCCCAAGGCTCGTCTTCAAATCGATTTTTACTCTCCTCTGTGTTTTCCAAAGCTCCATCTGTAACAATAAAATAAGAATATGATTTATATTAAAACTCTATCTGAATTATTATACACAATAAGATTATCTAATAAATTTGTTTTATCCTGATTCACCTAACCTATACACAACTATTACGATTTTCAAATAACCCGTTCTCCTAGGGATTTTTTCTAAATTCAGCAAAAACACCTGGTTAATACATATGTGTCCTCTAGTTAAGTTTTTAGCGTGATAGGTTAACTTCAAAGTAATCTCCACCAATGCTGTGCCAGCAGTTTCAGTTGTTGTTAAATTTTATATGGAAATGGAACTGTGGAGAAGCTAAAGTCAGGTGTCCCGACTTTGAAATACTCTATATACATGTAGAATAATTATGCGTTTCTGTGCGTGTTTGTGTGTGTCTGTATGTCTCGTGTGCCTGCTTAAAACAGCAGCAACAACAACAACAGCTGCGGGCAGTATTTGTGCAAGATGACATATATTGTTATAACTTCCTCTTAAATCGGCCTATCATAATATAACTTGGCATACGGACTCATAATCACTAACTGGAATTTTAGAATTTCAATTAATAATTCCAAGAAGTACGGGAGTTATGAACATTCAGTGAGTGCGGGGGAGAGTGAATTTCCAAAATACACATTTTCTGCGTATTCACATAAGGCATATTGGACTAAAATTTGGTGTCCCTAGCTCTTATATTTATGGCTAATAATTCATAATTCACCTATCATGATAAAACTTGGTATATGGACACATAATCACTAACTCAAAGTACAAGTATTTGCCAAATTCACTCAAAAATTGCAAGAATTACGAAAGTTTTATAAAAGTGCTAATAAACTTCATCTGCCTAGGGCTTAGGGGAAACTGGATACCAAGTTTAATTATTCTAGGTCTGCAACGCCTCCTTCTGTACATACGTTAGCACAAAACTAGTTTACTACTTTACCCTTTGGCTACCGGTTATAGAAATGCGATTGGTCCACTTTCTGGTCTTCATATTGTGATAGGCCAGTGGCCTCTCTATTATCATATTGCCAATTTTGCCAATTGCCTTTCTCATGCCGCAGTCTGTTACTATTGTAACGGCAAATTGTTTTGTCACCCTTTTCCTTTCACAATATGTACAGGTATGGTAACGATCAATAGGAACGTCCAGGAATGCCGCAGAATCACATCTGTCCAAAATATTTGAATAGTTCAAGTTTTACTAACATTTCCTTTTGGACTTGGAGCACGAGCTCAATCACATGGGGACGCAAATGTTTCTTTTTACAATTCGTTTGAAAATGGGTGAATGATTTGTATATTCAGCTAAATTGCCGACAAAAATGCCACGCGTAGGATAAGCAGGTCCACAATCATCTTTTTTTAGCTCAATAAAAGTCGACGTTTGTTGGATTGAGATCGAATAGTAATGGAAGTGCCGGTAGAAAATTGACGAATGGAAACTGAACCTGCTGGAGCTTCTTCCTTTGATGAAAGAGTTGCAGCTGGAGTTGCCGATCCAAATCCTCCACGATACTAAAATCGATTGCATTATTTAGAGCATCAATTGCCCTAATCTCTAAGTCAGATTGCTTATTTTTTGACGCGACATAAGAAAAAGTACGAAAACAATGCCGAAACATTTGGAGCGGACTGACCAGTCTAGCCTTTATGCGGATTCACCTTCAGACCGATTTTAATGAACATACAAGGTGGAATTCAAAAGTTCCAGGGCTTTTATTAAAAAACGAAAACAATTTATTTATTTTTTTTTTTTGAAAAATTTATTGGTCGCCTTCAAAAATAGTCTCCTTCCTCCTGAATACAACGTTTTGCACGTTCAAGAAGGTGATCGAACGACTTTTTTAGGTCATTTATCGGTATAGCGATGAGGATGGCGGTCGCCGCCTGTTGTATGGCATCAACGTCAGCATAGCGGTTTCCTTTCATGGCCAAATGTAGTTTTCCGAAAAGGTAGAAGTCGCACGGTGCCATATCAGGTGAATACGGCGAGCGGTTAACGGTTAAAATGTGATTTTTGGTCAAATAATCGGTCACAATCGGTTGATTTTTGAGCAATTTTTGGTCGTCGGTCAATTTGTGTGGAACAAACCGTGCACACACCTTTCGTAAGCCCAAATGTTCCGTCAAAATGCGATAAATCGATGTTTTGGAGGTGTTCAAATCCATTTCCATCAATTTCAATGATGATTTCGGCTGATTTTTGATGAATTCACGCACTGTTTTGATGGCATTTTTGTTGATCACGAATTTTGATTGGCCCACATGTTGATCGTCATTTATGTCCTCACGACCACTTTGAAAACGTTGAAACCACTCTTGCACTCTGCTACGGGATAGGCAATCATCGCCATAAACTTGTTTCATCAATTTCGGTAAAAGTTTTACCAATTTTAAAACAAAATTTAATGTTGGCTCTTTTTTTCGAAGCTCATTTTCCGACCGATAACACAAACATACTGACACTTAAAACGCAATAACTTCACTTCCAATCGATGAAATGTCATGAAATTCTCACTGGACAATCGATAAAGATAGCAGATTCTAACGCACCAGTCGACATATAGATAGCGCCACCAGGGGCGCTAGATTCAAAAAGTCCTGTTTCTTTTGAATTGCACCTTGTAATTCACTTTTCTCTAGTATATCTATCTATCGTTCGTATGCGTATCGTATTCTATAGTTTTTAATGTACATAAGTTCTTCATATTTTAGTTGCATGTATTTTTTGTTTGTAAAAAGTGACTGTAGTTATTGTCTATGAATCTAGTCCAAATAGACCGACATTTTCATATTGTTTAGAAGAGTTCTGTTTTAATTTAGTTATTGCTTCTGTCGATTGTTCAATAGTGTCGGTAACCTTGTCGTATTGATTTAGTGATCCGAAATTAATTTGTTAATAATCAATTGTTGTATTTAGTACTCCAATGAATGTGTTTTAGAATCTGATATTGTGCTTGGTAATCCTTTTTAAATTTCTTGATTCGGAATAAAATTCTATTTTCATCAGTTTAAACTTTAAATCAACCAATTTTGATCCGGTTGAAAATCTAGTTGACTATTATATTTTTTTTTATAAATGAAATGACTGTTCCACCAAGTGAAAATTATGCGGTATTATATATCTGTCTGACCAGATTTCAACAAATAGATGCCCCAATGAGTTTTTTTGTTCCGTCTCCTATTGCAGTTATGTAGGCTATTTCGTTAATATAAACGTCCGAATAATTATCTGTATTTATTTTTAATATTGTAATTTCCGCTTCAGTGTCAACAAGGTTTGGTTTGTGTACTTTCATTGAATACATTTGTAATTTACTAGCGCCACTGAATTGAAGTGTTTTTAAGCTTTCCGACGTCACAGCTTTCCCAATACCTTATTATGGCTTCGAATAGATCCTTGATTATAGTTCTGTACCTACAGTCGTCCACATTTTTCGTCTTTACAAAGGATCAGATGTGGACGCCCTTTCGCGCATTTGCAGAAGCCGCGACTCCCGTTCTTGTTCCGTTTCTATAGCTCTAGATGTGGATGCCCTTTCGCGCATTTTCCTAAACCGAGAATCCCTTTCTTCTTATGTTTCCAAGGCTCTAGATTTAGATGCACTTTCGCAAACATGTTGCAAACATGATATGCCGGCGATTTCACAATAATGATGATGCAGGAATGGTATGTATGTGTCGATGTGTTGAATCTTTGCATGGTAGCTGATGCGGTTTGGTTGTCGGATCTCGGCCTGTGCTGTATGCCAGCCATGTCGTGCATGTCAGCTTGGAGGCGGTATTGGTTTTTGGTCCGTGGCGGACTTCGGAGTCACAACATTATGCCAATTGAGATGATCAGGGTTACGTAGATGCAAATGGTGGCGATGACTGCTGCGATGTGAAACTGGCTTTATGTCTTCAAGTAGTGCATTTGACAGAGTGATGAGTTGTGCTTGCTGCATCAACATAGTAACTTGGTCTGTACTTAGCATTATTCGTTGTGACTGGTAGAGCGATCCACGTTAGTTAGGATGAGTGGCTCATACATTCTTTTAGGGATGGTCGGTGTCGATGTCCGTTTAGGCTTCCTGCTCTGAATGTTCTGCTACTGTGACAGCCTGCCCTGATTAACCCTTTGTAATAGCCCCAACGCAGACTGTTTTGGATCTTTCCCCAACATTTACTGATCCTGACACAATCCATCCGAGTGCAGTACTTTGTAATATGGGTTGGCCAATTCCTAGTGGTAGCTGATGAGGCTGAACCAGAACCAGAGATTTTACTTGCATGTTATACTTGTTGTTTACCGATGTCGCCTGTAGACTTACTTGTTTTGATCCTGGTAGATTACTGCATCCAATGCCCTGCATAGCAGCAGCTGTTCGTTGCGGTCTGATTTTCAAGTCTGTCAATAAGCGACTCGATACAAAGTTGGCTTGGAATCCAGAATCTAGTAACGCTCGCACGATTCTGTGCGGGCCATTGCAGCCTACTACTTTGACCTGTGGCGTAGCCAATAAAACGTATTGCTTCTGTGTTCTGGAAATCGATGGTTGGCTGAAGGCCGCCGTTATCCCGCTGTCCTTATGTAGCAATGTATGATGTGGCTGTTGGCATCGGAAGCACTGTCTGCTTGAGCATTCCCGAGAGCTGTGCGTGGCGATGATACATTTTAGGGATCGGTTAGTTTATTGAATCCAGGCCCATCGTCGGTCCACGTGCGTCACGCAGTAACAGCAGACTCTCTCCTCCACACGTGGAGGAGTGCCGTCGAGTGGCGCGGGAGTGGTTCCAGAGGGAGTTCGAGCCGGTAACGTCATACGTAGAAGAGATGCAGTGACCCATGCTAAACGCCGACTGGACGCCGACTGGACGCCGGAGGAACGGCTGAGACTTCTCACGGTAATTGCCTGCGCCACGACGGTTTGCGCGTCGCAGTGGAGTAGGTCCGCACGGAAGATGAGCTAATTCGGGCGATGGTGCGACTGGAAGAGTCGAGGCGAGCAAACGCACTAGCG